TAAAAGGGTAAAAGAAGAAAAAGAAAGAGAGAAGATACAGAGAAAGGGATAAAAGAAGAAGAAAAAAGAGAAAAAAAAATAGGTTCTTATATACGACTTAGTTTAATTATTATCAATATTAACAATTTTAATACAAATTAATAGTCATGTTCTAACAACTTCATTCCAAAACATTTACAAAAGTTATCAAAAGCTTTGATAATTTTAACTTTTTTAAATTTTATAAAAAAGTTATTATAACTCTTGACCACTTCATTAAATCGTGAGAATTCATGAAAATTTATTTTAAATTTATAAAAAAAATAAAATTATTCTATTTTTGTAATTATGGATTAGTACCTTAGTTTTGACTCTTTCAGAATACAAAAACTACACATTCTCTTTACAGCCTTTTAAAACGGGAAACACCCCCGATAAGTTAGAACTTTATTATAAAATTCTAAACGTTATACATGAAAGGCATATTGAAATATTTGTAAACCTATAGATATGTCTTTTTATATAAAGATAATATCTAAAATAGAGCCTGAGAATTGTGTGGGACAAAGCATGAAAATGTAGTGATGCAATGTGGTAGAGTATATAGCAAACGAAAGGTGATTGGAGAGGATGAAGTGAAGTGGGGCTATGAGTGAGTGAGTGAGTGATNCACAAATCCCTTAGTAAATGGATTGACAAATTTTTCCGTTAAGTTGATGAAATTTTTTATATACTAAAGAGAGATGAATGAAAAGAAAAATAGAGGAAGAAGATGAGAAGAACAAAAGAAGAAAATAAGGAGGAAGAGGAAGAGAAGGAGATGTCAAACTTGACAGTTGCAAAGGTGCAGTGGTGCAATGATGTTGGTGGTCATGTTAAGAAGTAGAACTTAAACTAAATTTAACTTTAGAAAATTGGATTGTAAGTTGAGGTTTGCTCCCACTTAATATTGTAAATTGTTCTTATATCTAATGTAAGACTTCCAACACACCTCCTTACGTCGAGATATATACATATTAAGAATGTAATTAGACATTAATTAGTGGTCTGATAGCGAATGAAACAATAAGCATAACAAACATTAAATTTTGGTAGGATAAAATTTAACTCATGACTCTGATACCATATTAAAAAATAGACTTTAATGAAGTTAGAGGAGGAAGAGGAAGAGGGAAAGGAGGAGGAGGAAGCCATAGGTGATGACGGTGGAGGCACGACAAGGTGGGAGGAGTGAGGAGGAGAAGAGGAGGAGGAAATGAGGAAGAAGAAGAAGAAGAAAAATGAAAAAAAGAAGGATGAAGAAGAAGATCCAATCGCAATTTTTAACAATGAATTTGACTGAAAGTCATAATTTGTTAATAACTACCAACAAATATTTACTAACATATTTGTAGTCATTAATAATTATAGACAAATGTCATGATTGTTGGTTAAATTTATTGACGAATTATATATCATTGATAATCTATTAATAAACTTAAAATTTTTGGTAAATTTTTGTTATTACAAAAAATTGTGTTTATTCATAATAAATATTTGTGTATATCGTAACCATGTGCTTAAAAGAATAACATGTTTTTACTTTTTCATTAAAGGCATAATCAAAAGAAAATATATGGATTGTAGAAAATTTCATGTAACCATTTTAGTTCAATAATTAATTTATCACAATTCAATAAAATAATCTCCAATAATTTTTTATGAAATATTAATAATAAACCACGTCCATTAATTGATATAACACTTTAATTTTATATTGACCTTGTTCATACATCAATAGATGATGTTGAATATTATGACTCAAGTGTTATTAAAGAAAAAAAGTAAAAAAAAATGATATTCAAAGTTGAATGAAAGACTAAAAGTTATAAATTGGAAAGCATTATTATGCATTTGAAAATGCAGTAGTTAGCATAGAGGAGATGTTCCAGAAAGCTTGGGTTGGTAAGAGAGGAAAATGAGATGAAGCTTTTGGTAATGTGGAAAGAAAAAAGAGAAAGAAATGATGACAGAGAAAGGATAAGCACGCATGGGAAGGAGAATCAACAACAAAATTCCAAAGAGGAATAGATAGAGATACAGTTGCAGGCATCCCACAGACTATAGACTCATGGCCCTTCTCTTTTTACTGAAAGCGACGTCCCTCACAAACCCAGTCAAACCGCACATCACACAATGCAACCCCGTTAAGACCACGCATATCGAATTATTGCACTTTCTTAACAATTTTAAAACATTCTTCACTTCTCAAAACATCTCACCAATTTTCAAAGGCTAGTACACATGTAATTTATAAAAATAGGTTAGTTTCATTATTTTTTACAAATTTAGAATAAGTTGTTATGAACGAATCATGATTTATTTATATAATTATGAAAAAATAAAATCGTCAAAATTTATAATAACTTTTAATTTTTATTCAACTAAATGTCATATCTAATTATTATTTCAGTTATATGATAATTTTTTTTTTAATTTTTAATTAAAAATATAATATAATGTGAAGCAGTTATCTTCTTCTTTTTACCCTTTTTTCGTATTTTTTTTTCACCTTCCATCTTCTTCTTTTCTCATCACACTCATCTCTTTTTTTCTCATTTTCTTTTTAGTTTAATTGATTCGGAGTTTTCTCATTTTTTTAGTTTAATTGATTCGGAGGTCTCTATTTTTGTAGATTTGCGTCAATTAGATCCTCGTATCTTGAAAAAGCTTAATTGGATCCCTTTTCACGTAAAATTGAATCAATTAAGTCTATATTGTTAAATTTGGTGGGCGTTAAATATATTGCCTGGTAGCGGTGAGGTGACATTTTATAACCGCGTGACACATAAAGACATCATGGACTTAAATAATTTTTAATTTAAAAAAGCTTTCTTTGGATTTCAATAACTTTAAATCATTAATTTTAATTAATTTGATTTTTAATTAATTTAAAAATTAATTACTTTCCCTTTACACCAAATTAATTTTTTTATCCAGTAAATTAATTTGATTTCTAGTTAATTTTATTTCCAGAAACAAAATGCAAATCCCCATTTCAATTCGAATGAACCCTACATCTCAAATCAGAAGAAATCACAAAAACCCCCAAAATTTAATGAACAACTAAAATCCTAAAATCATAAAATCAGAAGGGGAAGGAGGATTTCACAGTGAATTAAAATCTACAGAAAAGGAAACCAAAATCATCCACCCAAAATTGTTAGCCTGAAGCGAGAACAAAGAACCCAAAAGAAATCTCCAAACGACAACCTCGTCGCAACATGCAGAGGCCCTCTCCACGAAACACAGAAGCTCTTGCCGCGCCTCCGTTGCGCTTCAGTCGCGCCTTCGTATTCACCCCACAAAGCCTCTCCGTATGCGCGAGCCATGGATAGGTTTCTCAAGGTTGGGTGGTCAGCGAGATTAGAGAGGAGAAGAAGCTTGAAGCTTCGATTACGGAATCAAAACGAAAAGGAGGAAGGGGACCTATTGTCCGTGAGAGAGGCACCAAAAAGAAACTTTGGGGAAAAAAGTTTGAGTTGCGTAAATCAGATTTAGGGTTCACTTGTATTAGATTTAGAATTTTATTAATAGTAATTTAAAGAAATTCTAATCAATTATAATTAAAGAATTTAATTAGGATTAATAGGAAACCCTCAACCTTAATTAATTACACTTAAGGAAAACTTCCTTCTTCCTTTGTTCTTCTAATGTTTTTTTTCTTTTTATTTAAAGTTATTGAAATTCAAAGAATGTTTTTTAAATTAAAAATCATTTGAGTGTACGTAATGAAGTCTTTATGTCTACGTAATCATTTAGGTTCAAAGTATGTGTCTCACATTAAACACCGTCACAAAATTTAACGGCAGAAACCTTATTGATTCAATTTTACGTAAAAAGGGATCCAATTCAGCTATTTCAAAATAGGGAGACCTAATTGACGCAAATCTGCAGAAATAGAGATCTCCGAATCAATTAAACCTTTCTTTTTCAGAAACCATAAAGTAATGAAAATTTTTGGACATGAGAGAAAGAGAGGACTGTAACTAGGAAAGAAGAAGAAGAATGAAAGTAAAAGAAGAAGAAAAGAGAAGAGAAAAAGAAGGATACAGATAAAAGGGTAAAAGAAGAAAAAGAAAGAGAGAAGATACAGAGAAAGGGATAAAAGAAGAAGAAAAAAGAGAAAAAAAAATAGGTTCTTATATACGACTTAGTTTAATTATTATCAATATTAACAATTTTAATACAAATTAATAGTCATGTTCTAACAACTTCATTCCAAAACATTTACAAAAGTTATCAAAAGCTTTGATAATTTTAACTTTTTTAAATTTTATAAAAAAGTTATTATAACTCTTGACCACTTCATTAAATCGTGAGAATTCATGAAAATTTATTTTAAATTTATAAAAAAAATAAAATTATTCTATTTTTGTAATTATGGATTAGTACCTTAGTTTTGACTCTTTCAGAATACAAAAACTACACATTCTCTTTACAGCCTTTTAAAACGGGAAACACCCCCGATAAGTTAGAACTTTATTATAAAATTCTAAACGTTATACATGAAAGGCATATTGAAATATTTGTAAACCTATAGATATGTCTTTTTATATAAAGATAATATCTAAAATAGAGCCTGAGAATTGTGTGGGACAAAGCATGAAAATGTAGTGATGCAATGTGGTAGAGTATATAGCAAACGAAAGGTGATTGGAGAGGATGAAGTGAAGTGGGGCTATGAGTGAGTGAGTGAGTGATGTGATGAGGAGGTACAAAGGAGGGAGAGGTGGAGCTGAGTTAGTTGCCTTTAGTTCCCTGTCAACTCGCACATGACCACCACGTGAAGTGCTACAACTTTCAACTTCTTCCATCCACTCATTTCTTCCCTTTCATATTTCATCCTAAACACCTTCTAGCTTTATAAACCAAACATTATCAAAACTAAACAAACCTACCTTCTTTCTCTTCTCTTCCTCTTCTTTACCCTTCTCTCTCTCATAAGTTACTGTTTCTCCTGTCTTTCTCAAACTGCAGTACTACCCTCATCAATATGTTCATTCTTCACCCTCACACATACGTCTTAATTACCTCCTCCAAAGGCTTGTAGGGTTACTCCAACACTCAGGAGAGACTGCACTATGCAATCTCAAACTTCTGATACGTTTCCCTCTCACTGTGAAAATGAAACAATTTCCTGCTATGACCCGGCATTTTACTACACCAGACCCTTTTCCATTCACTCTGAAAGCAACCCAACATGGAAACAAGAAAACAACACTGACCTTCCTCCTTTGTCCTTTTTCCACTTTCCTTCTCCTCCCTTTGAAGACTCTCGTATTTCCCTCCAACAACACCACGATTTCCTCCTTCCGTTTCACCATAACCCTCCACCTCAAAACCCCGACCCTCAACCTGTTAGTCTTTCCGTGGAGACTTCTGCTAAGAAGAATATCCAAACCCCCAGAAAAAGACTTGGCAAGAGAGATAGACACAGCAAGATCAGCACCGCAGGGGGACTGAGGGATAGGAGAATGAGACTTTCCCTTGATGTTGCAAGGAGGTTTTTCGGTTTGCAAGATATGCTGGGCTTTGACAAAGCTAGCAAGACCGTGGAGTGGCTGCTGAACCAAGCAAAAGCTGAGATCAATCGTCTAGCGAAGGAAAAAAAGAAGCAGAAGAAGAGTGTTCACCGCAGTTGCTGCAGTGCTGGTTCGGAATGTGAAGAAGGTGTGTCCAGTCTTGATGAGGTTGCAGGGAGTAGAAACGAAGAAGAAGCAGGAGAAGAGAGAGTGGACAAAGTGATGAAGAGAAGGGTTAAGCATTCTAGGAAGATCGGTGCATTCCATCCTCTTGCAAGGGAGTGCAGGGAAAGGGCAAGAGAGAGGGCAAGAGAGAGGACAAGAGAAAAGATGAGAAGTCGTGGCCTGGCTGAAGAATCAAAGCCATGTAGAGAGGAAGAAAATCAAAATCTAATCCAATTGGGTTCTTGGAAACCCTCAGAAACTGGAGAAGAATTTGTTACCAAGAGCCACGGTTTGCATCCTTCCTTGGACGTGATCAATGAGGGTAAAGAACACAGCTACCACGCAAAGGAGCATGATGATGATGATTCTTTGGTTATTTTGAGCAAATGGAGCCCCTCCTTGATCTTCAATAACTATGGATTCTCTCACGAAGTAAGTCTCAATTGGTGTTTCCTAGATAACTTCCTTGCGCACCACATTACTTAGTGTACATATTTTTCATACACTGCAACAAGAAAATGAACAAGTAATTTCATAAACATTAACAAAGAAGATTTGAACTAAATGGGTGTTTATCAGATCCAACACTCAATTTTCTCCAAAATCACGTCAGAAAAGAAACAAAAAACACACAAGAACCAGATACTTCTTGCTTCCACGTCCACGTTTTGGAGTAAAATCCAAACATGCTACGAAGTATCTATGTAGTTTGGGAAATACAAACCAAGGAATGACCAGATTTAACATTTTAACAAAAACCATCTCCAAAACTTCGTCTCGGTCACTCTGACTATTTTACATGAGCAAAGTGCATGGTTAAAATAACATGCTGCTGACTAGTCTGTGATTTTTTTCAGCACCAATTTGCAGAATTTCAGTCCTTGGGAAAGCCATGGGAGGCCTAGAACAATCACATCCCATATATTTGATGTGCCGACGGAAGTCTGCTATGTATTTCTTTACTTTCCTTTCAGAATTTAACGGAGTAAGGTACTCTCAACAACATCTATGAAAAAAAATTATATAAAACGGTTGTATTTTGATCTCTATAACACGTTTCCTTTTCCATGTTTCTGCTCTGATCGTATCTACCTACTTACTCAGTGTCATGGTACAGATTCAATAGTTCGTATAACGGCCTTGTGCATGCTTCTAGTCAAGAAAAATGACCAATGTCTTATTTTTTACTGCAACCTGGTTCAATGCATTGATGTTACCACCTTAAACATTGTAGTTAGCATGTTTGAAATGCATTTACATGGGTTTTTGTCTTTTTTTGTGATGTATTGGCATATTTCAGCAATTTTAAAATAAGTCCAATAAGAATAGGATAATACTGAGTCACTTCTCAGATGTATATTTTCGCTTGTCTGTGGGTAGCATCCCGAGTGTCTTCTAGTATGTGATATTAATCTTTATAGATGTGACTGAATAGACACTTGGGTGGTTCACATTCCCTTCAATGCAAAGATTAAAATTGACTTTGTCATTTGAATATTCAACATATATAGCATTTTCAGCTCAGTAGAAAAATACTGAGGAACATAATCATGAAACTTAACGTGGAGATATAAATTATTTGAAACTATAATATATACATACATATATATATACATACATATATATATATATATATATATATATATATACATATATATATATATATATATAAATATATATATTAATGACACTTTAACATATTTCTTTTAGTATTTGAGCTTGAAATAATGTTGGACGAAAACTTAAACCTTCTATACTATGATATACCCTCATTTTTTGAAGGAGTTTGTACTTTAAAACAAAATATAATTAGAACAGTCCATACAAAAATTGTCAGAATTTAACAGCCTTTTGTTTGTTCTATGTATTTGGATAAGCACCAAATTCTGTTTGATACCTGAGAAAGTATAGATAAGGTAAACGATAATTAACATGAATAACAAAAGATAAAAAAGAGAAAAATAGGTGCCTAATATATTTTTGTGATATATGGGTGTGAATGTATCATTATGTATTTTATGATAATTCTCATTAAGAGTGGGTTTATCTAATTTATCTTAAATGAAAATAGTACTAAAAGAACTCTATAAAACACCATTGATTCAGTTACTTGTATATTTTAAGATGGTTAAAAAAAATTATTAATTGAGCTGATTATTTTTATGGATTTTTTTAACTCCATTTTACTTGAGTGTTAATCCCCCATAAAATTTAGTTTGTTATCATTTAAAGTGCATGCATGTGTCAAATTATTAATAAAAACATAATACATTCATATTTTGCTTGGAAGGGACTGTCATCTGAGTAAGCTGTACGTTGTTTAACTTGAAGACCCAAAAGAGCTAAAACAACACAGTGAAATGCATTTAGTTAGCTAATCCTTGCACTTATATTCTTGATGTTGTTGCCAGAAAAGAGTTTTTATTTATTAGGCTATAGTTTCTTATCTTAAGTATATGTCTTGGTCCTTGAATTAATAGTTCTCTTGTTATACTAATTCACAGATTGCAATTAAGTGAAATTAAAATGCATTTCTCAAATGTTTGATGCAAGTTTTCAGCCACATATCTCCACTCACCTATTAAGAAGAAAAAACACCTTATTAAAATTTGAGCAAATAAATATAGAAGAAAAACAAATCTTACCAAAGTCTTGACCAAATATTTTCTATTGCTCAACATCATTCCTTAATTAGTAAATTAAGAGTAACATGGGAGAACATGTATTTTATAAGCATATATCTCTAAAATCACAATATTTTATAAGCATGTATTTTAGAGAAGAGAAAAGATATCATACATCTTCTTTTGAAAGAAATCATAGTGATGTGCACACAAGTATTGTGAGCTAATTAAAAATAGGTTTAGGAAAGACAGGTTTACTTATTAGTTAAAAAATTTAGCGATAAAATAGAAGGTTTACTTGTATATAGTACCAAATATTAACCACATATGAAGACTTGTTAGCATATAGTTAAAATATTCAAGTTGTAAAAAGAAAAAAAAATGCATTTTTCTTTGACTTAAAATAATTACTTAATTGTAGTGTGTATCCTGCAAATTTAAGGAAAGATTATTACATTCTTTCCAAATCTAGTTCTATGACTTTTTTGTTTATTGTTTATCTAATTATTCATGATTGTATTATGATGCAACCAAGGTTAAGTAGTTAATCTGATGAGTTTTTCTTGGGATATTGGAATTAATTCTATGACTTTTTCTGGACCAACCTGATAAAAATGTTGCATTTAAAAAAAAAAGTCATAAANAGTAGTTAATCTGATGAGTTTTTCTTGGGATATTGGAATTAATTCTATGACTTTTTCTGGACCAACCTGATAAAAATGTTGCATTTAAAAAAAAAAGTCATAAATTCGTTCTATCAGATCTCAGTGAAGCTATCATTTATTCAAAGTATATCATTTTAGGCACTCCATAAAACTCGTAATAGGTAATGTTACTTTTCACCATTCTTAAATAAAAGGTGAAAATATTATTTAATTGTGTGAACTGACTAATGATGTAATAAAACACTTTATTATTTTTTAACTGAAAAAACAGTTTTACAAACTCTTATAGTACTTTCTGTTGTGTATTGTCTTGTTTTTCTGTTGTAAATGTTAATTTGGAAACCAACAGTGTTTCCTTTTAGATATGCTCTGGAATTGATTTTTTAGAGGAAACAGAAAAAGTTGTGACAATTAATTTACCATTTGACAACTGTTGGATAAGGAGATTTTCCTTCTCTCTGTTTTCTGTAATGCAGTTATTAGGTAACTATTCTCTTAGGTTGCTCTGACAGCAGTTTTCTCTTTTCTCTTTTCTTTTTTCTTTACTGTTAAGTGTGGATAACCACTACAATTTATCTTCTTTTTGGAGTCATAATTTTCCTTTAATGAGATCCTCAAAAGAAGAAAAGACAATAAAAATAAAAACATACTAGTAATGTTACAATGTTAATATTTTTGCAGAGTAAAGTTAGGTTGTAATAATTTCAGATAATTAATCTAAAGGCTATTCCTTTATTTTATTTCATTTGTCTGTGGTTTCTTTTATCAGTATTTTGGTTTTATGTGTAATGATGGTACAACAGTTGAGCAAGCTTTGAAAAAAACAACTTATTACCAAAGCAAGTAACATATATTTTACCATCATGCCTACATATATTTTAGTTCTTTTGTCCAGATAATCCAATCCAACACAAGGAAAATTTGTCATTTCGTTATAGTTCAATACTTGATTTTGTTTAATTAATGTCAGCATTTCATATTTTAATAAAAGATATATTTTGAACTTTTTTTAATATTTTCCTTTGAAATTTAAAGTATATTC